GCATGCATCTTTGAGACAGTGGAGGGTGCGGGCTGACTCTTTGGGTTGTCCCAGGGCCTGTCACTGTGGCTCCAAGAGGGGCTGAGCAGGGCCAAAGAAGTGGAATGTGTGAGGCCTCCAAGCTGGACCAGTGGGGCCCACTCTCCACTGAGGGGGCCTAGGGCCTGAAGGGTGGGAGCCAAATGAACCTGGGCTCCTAATGGAGAAGACAACAGAGAAAACCATGGCCCATGGTGGACTTGGGGTCTCTGCCAGTGCTCCTTGCTCGTGCTGGGGGTGACAGAGGCTGTCCAGGCCCTTGTTGCAGCTGTGACCTTGTTAGGACTCCCCTAGTGAATGCATGCACAGCCTTCCTGGCGGGGGTGCAGCACGTGTACATTCCACACATGTCAGGCAGCCAGTGTGGAGAGGGCTTCCGCCTCCTAGGGTGATCTCAAGGCTGAGCCTGGAAGTAGAGAGGCTTTGGGGACAGAACTCCTCTCTCTGGGGAATGAGTGAGAAGACTTCCTGAACTCTCCTCCAGATGGAGGGAGTCAGGATGGAGCAGGTGGGCCCAGGAAGCCATGCACTCTCCCTTGTGGAGGTGACCGAGCTGGGTACCCCTGGCCGGAAGGAGCTCACAGGAGGGCAATGTGGTCCTTTCCGTCACTTCGCAATCCTGAGTTGCTTCTTTTGGTTCGAGTTGGCTGCTGAGTGTGCTGGTAGATGGAAAGCCAGGTGGGAAGAAGGGGTCTGTGGCCCCACCTGGGCACCAGGTGTTCCTGCCCGAGCTGCTCTCTGCAGAGATGCAGCAAGAACTAGAGGCACTTCCTGTGGCTGGGGCCCTGGCTGGCTCCGCCTCATCTCAGTATTGGAACCAGTAGCCGTCAGTGTCTTCCTTGTGTTAGGCTCAGAGGTGGAGCTCTCGGTCCTGGCGTCAGCCCTGCAGTTGTTAGGTTTCAGTAGGGCAGCCTGACAGTGTTGATGGCAAGAGGGTTTGGTTCCTAGGCTGCACTGCACTTTGAAATCTTGTCTGTGGGCCTTGAGCATGGGCTTGAGAACCTGAGCTTTTCTTTTGGGTCAAACTGCTTTGTGGGAAGGTTCTGCCCAGTGTCCCTCCCTGGACCCTCTTGAGTTTTTTTGGAATTCTGCCTTTTCCCCAAGGCCTGGTCACACTGCTGCCATTTGGCAGGTGGTGACACTCAAGGAAGGCAGAAAGAATATGAATCCTGAATGTGCATGTATAGGGGAAACTGGGGCCAGGAGACCTGGCTCTCATTTTGAGAAGGGCTCAGGGACTCTGTGCAAACCTTGGACTTGTCTCCCAGACGCTACCTGCTGAGCCCATCACCAGTGCTGTCATCTGCAATTTGAGACCCCAAGTGTTAAGTGTAGTGGCCAGAGACAGGGGAAAGGAATTGCTTTGTGATTCATGAAGTCACATAGGCAGGGGAAAAGCCACAAATGAGGGACTCTGGTAAGCCAGACTGCTTCGAGGCTATTCTTGGAAGCTACAGCATCACATCTTGTTTTTGGGGGGTTTTTTGGGGGGGATTTAACCCCCCCAAAATGCAGAACCTTTCATATTTCTGGCTAGTTGGTTCCATTTCTCTATCCAATTCCAAAAAGGCAGCAGCTGGGTGGTAGTTTACGGGGTGAAACTTCCCAAGAGCCAGCCACTTGGGATCCTCTGAGTTAATCTGGGCTTCCTTTTTTGGGGTGCCCAGCAAGGGCGCACACACCAGTTCCCCGGAAGCAAAGATTTAAAGCTCAGACTCACGGAAGGAATCCTGGGCCACGTCAGCCCTTTCCAGTTCACGGCCGACACTGCCTCTTCCCATGTGTCTCCGTTCACGGCTGAGACTATGCTGAGTGATGTTCCCCACTTGACATACAGGGACTTAAAACCCAGAAGTGAGTTTGAACCCTGGTTTTCTGAATCACAAGCTTTGTCCTCTAGTTTTGAAATGTATATCATTCCTTGACCTGGGAAGCTCATGAATTATGCTCTTTTTTCCCCTTCCTTTTGGCTTGATGATATTTGGGCCATTTGAAGAAGAGCAATGCAGTGCTAGTTACCACGTAGCTGCCGTGTGTTAAGTACATCATATATCTGATCTCTTTATTGCATATCACCCTAGAGAGAGAGTAGTATGGTCCCCATTTTACAGAGGAGAAAACAGAGGCTAAGGCAGAAGAGTTGACGTTCCTAGAGTCACACAGCCAGCAAGTGCTTGTGACCAGATGCACACCCAGATTCACCTAAGTATTCTGATGTTTTTCCACAAGGAAAGCTCCCCAGCATGGGTGTTAGCCTCGTGTTTGACTTACACTGGTAAGGTGAGCATTGAGACCCAGCCGTTCGGATCCAGGGAGGCAGGTCTGAGCCTGGCACAGGCTGCGGGGGTGCATGTCCAAGGCTGCACTTATCTCGGCCCGCCCGCCATCTCCCTCCACCTCCTTTATCTCGCCCTAGATAAGAGTGGTTCCTGAAGCTCCCACGCCCACCTCAGCTCCTTGGCTCTTTCTGGGCAGGAGCCCTAAGATGAAGTTGTCCATTTTCCTTTGGAGAAAAGGAAGCGAGTTCTTCCAGTCTGTAAATCGTCTGGGAGTCAGATCTGGCTTGATGCCTTTAAAGTTGGTGTACAATCTTAAGATGAGGAGGAGTTGGCAGCTTGGAGAGTTGATTTGCAAAGCTTTTTGTTTGCAATCTGGTGCACCCTCCAGATGCAGTCTGCCGGGGGGATGGATGCAGTCCATCAGCAGGTCAGGCTCCACCAGCAGCCATGTTTCTTTCTTTCTCCTCACACAGGTCATTATCATCTGCTGCTCATACAGGAAGAACCTGAGGCCTGGCAGTAGAGCGGCTTGGGTGCACTGCATGGGTGGTGAGGTTCAATCTGCCCACACTCGGAAAAGTCTGCACACAGCACAGCAGGCAGCGTGCATGCATCCGCCAGTTTCTGCCTCTGCCTCTGCTCTTCATGCTGGGCCTGAGCTGGCGCCAAAGATAGATAAGCTTTAGTGATCTGCCGAAAGCTCCTTGGCGTGGAGGAGCGGATGAGTCCTGCCATCCCTTTGTGCTCTCTGGGTGGCACGTGCAGCACATGGGGAAAGTTGAGACGCTGAAGGCGGTAGTGTTTATGGGAGGGATGCCAAAGTGAGCATCGTGGGCATTAAAGGAGCCGAGAGAGCATCTGGGAAGGAGTCTGTGTCTCAACTGGGCCAGCCAGAGCCGGCCCTCCCAGCCTGTGGAACTTGCTGAGTGGCATGGACCAGATAGCCAGGTAGGGCCTGCTGGAGGACCTGGGCCTGACTCAGGTGTGTGAACTGGTGAGGCCTGGAGCAAAGGGTATGTGGTACTCAGCCTCCAGCCCAGCACTCTGCTGGAAGCTCTTGGGGGAGGCAGAAGGGAGGGCAGCATCCCATCTCAGCTGTCAGTGCCTGCTGGCTCAGGGAGCACACGCCACAGTCCACCTTGGTACCTGTGCATCTGTGACACACCTTCTTGCGAGTCCTGAACTGCTGACACCTTGAAGTACTGCCACTCTGGGCTCTTCCAGACTCTGGCCTCTGTCTGGTGTCTCCTTGGCCTGAAATGTCTACTCTCCAGTCTTCTAGTGAAATCTTTCTCCTTCCTGAACTGGAGCTTTCTTGGCATTTCCCCCTCAGTGGATTCCTTGAGGCTCTATGGGTACCCACTGCTCTGGGCTCCCTACTCTGTTCACAGTCTTTGAGCACTCACCTGCTGGCTTGCAATCCTCTCTACTGTCCCCCTGCCTTGATGACCTCTGTTGCCCATTTCTGTATCCCCAGGACCTAGCACAAGGCCTGACACTTGCTGGGGCACCGGTAATTGTTGCCAAACGAATGAATGAGAGATTAGAGACTAAAATAAACACCATTCTCTGCTTTTAGTATTGTAAAACCAGCCTCCTATCCAAACATGCCCTAGATAGCTGTCCTCATTTAGGGAGCGTGACACTAACCTCAAGGGCTGTGTGCTCTGTGTGCTCTGTGTACTCGCAGCCCTCCTCTTGCCCGGCCCTGTGGAGAGCTCCATCTGCTGAGTAACCCCCCACCCCGTGTACAGACCCCTCAGTCCCCCCCACAGCTGGGCCAGCTTCAGCCCTCCCCCGCCAGCTTTGGATTCTGGAAAAATAGCTAGTGCTTGGAAAATCAGTTCTACTTTATTTTTGTTCCTTTGAAACCTAAATGACTTTCCTCAGAAATGTCTGAGGTTAGAGTGGTGCAGAGAGAGGTCTGAGGCCAAAACCCCGGCGAGCTATTTTCATTATGTGACTGTACACCCATCACATCTTCCCTTCCATCAGCCGAGTCTTGTTCCAGATGGTGCCTGGCCTGCTCACAAAGCACTGACTCCTTTTGTCCGTGCCCATGTGCCTCTGTCCTCCAACCCTCTGACTGAGGGAGATGTGTGCTTCTTGCAGAGCCCAGAAGCAGAGAGAAGTTTTGGGGAGTTGCCTTTGTCACCTGTGTAGGGGAAACACCTGCCCTGGGGTGACAGTGAGGCAAGGCTTTGAAATGTCATGTCTAAGGACAAGGTGGGATGGTTGCAAAACCCAGAGTGGAACGTGCTTTGAGCCTCTGTCCGTGCATGAAGGGTCATGTGTATCGGTCAGTCAGCTTGTAGCACTGAGAATAGTAGGTTTTCAATGGAGCTGAGTCGCAAGTCTTTTTCTGGCTTTTTTCTTCTACTTGTCATTATTTCCAGAGCCATCGGGCTTATAGCAAGACTGAGCAGGCACTATTGACAGCCAGGGCACACGTAGCTTTGTGTGATCTGTGGTTCTTTTGGGCCAGAGTGAGGAGTGGGTGCTGGGGGGGTGGGGATTGGCAGCAAGGGCAGATGGAATTGCATATCTTCCAAAGATGGCAATGGTTTAGTGTTGAGAATCAGGATTAGCACTTCAGTGTCTTAAAGGAATTTCCTGTAATTGTCCCTCTTCCCCACCCTGCCCTGGTGCCCGCCGAGCTTACCTTTTCCACGTCCATTGCAGGTGTGACGTGTCCCCGTGATTCATGGTGACCTTCTCCATCGTCTCCACGCCCCCGCTGCACAAGCCTGCTCAGCCATGGGTGAGAATGAGGATGAGAAGCAGGCCCAGGCGGGGCAGGTGTTTGAGAACTTTGTCCAGGCTTCGACGTGCAAAGGCACCCTCCAGGCCTTCAACATCCTCACACGCCACCTGGACCTCGACCCCCTGGACCACAGGAACTTCTACTCCAAGCTCAAGTCCAAGGTGACCACCTGGAAGGCCAAAGCCCTGTGGTACAAACTGGACAAGCGTGGCTCCCACAAAGAGTACAAGCGAGGGAAGGCGTGTGTGAACACCAAGGTGAGGGAACCCCTCAGAGACATCCTCAGCCGCGCCTGGGAGCAGTGGGATGACACTTGGGACTCGGGTCTGTTGCCAGTGGGCTCTTTTAAGGCTCTTAATAGATGTGGGTAAAGGGCCAGGGAGTTAGCTCAGTGGTGCTGCTGCCTGCCTGGCAAGTTCAAGGACCTGAGTTCGATCCCTGGTACCAGAAAACAATAGATGTGGATGTGAATGTTGTACAGTTCTGCTCATCTGAAGACTTCCTTTGTGTCCACACACTCAGCTCACCCTGGCTGAAGGTTTCCATCTTAGTGTGGAGGTTGCAGCCCCCCTCTTGTGTCCCCTCCCAGGGAGGAAAACCAAAGGCAACGCTGAGGGGGTGGGGCAAAAACTTGAACTCATTCTACTTCTGTTTATTGAGCAGCTTTTATGTGCTGGTCACATTATGTCTAAGATCTTATTGAACAACTGCAGTAGTCCCGAGTGTCAGTTTAGAGATACGGACACTGAGAAGTCAGTTATTTCTCTAAGGTCACACAACTGGAAGGCAATCTTGGTCTGTTTGGTTCTGGGGTTTGGGCCCTACGTCCCAAGACAGGCGTAAGTGGAGAGTTGTGTCTCTCTACAAGCAAGTAGTTTAGAATGATCCCCTGGTTTTTAATCAGTTAACTAAGAAGTAGGCTCTTGGTCCTGACCTCCTTTTCCTTTGTCTTCCTCTGGGCACTTGAGTTCCCTACCTCACCACCCCCTTCCCAGATGGACTGCTCTGTGTAAGATCACACCATGGTTAACCCACCCCTTGCTTGGCCTGAGGCAGCTCCCATGCCCATGGGGCTGACAGTGACACAGAGCGTCCCACCCTGACATCTCTGCCATGCTTACCGCCAACCCACAGCAAGAAGTCGAGACGTGCCTGCTGGCTCTGGGGGGCTGTCAGCCCTGGGCATGGGGCCAGGCAGCATGTTTAGGTTAAGACCGAACGTCCTGTATTTAGACCTCTCAGGAGGTAACTCAGCCGGAACCCTTGGAATTCCAGTCCATGCCAATCCCGGGACAAAGAGGCTTGAACTCTCCATGGCAATGGGGCCTGTTGTGTTTTTGTTTTGGTCAGGAGGAGCTGCAGAGTCTACCGTGGGAGACGGCTGCTTTCCACTGCCCTACGGAGACAGCTGCCAAGTTCCCTGGAGCCCAGGGCATGGAAGAGTACTTCAGAGGGCTGGAGTAGACCAGCCCGGCCATCCAACTGCAGAGCTGTCCAGGCAGGCCCTGCCCATAGCCTTCCCTGCTCCAGCTATGGGGAGAGGACATGGGGGTAGAAAGGAAAAGGGGGAGAAGTGGGCAGAGAAGTGCCTCCCTCCCTAGTTGTAACTTCATGGATCCTAGTTCTTCAGTTAGAGGAGGGGGCATATTGAGCTTTCAGAGTTATCCTTCTCAGTAATTGTACATGGTGGCTTTCTTTTAAAAGCAGTCCCACGTATAGCCCAATGCATACATACAGTCTCATCAAAGAATTTAGGTGGCCCATGATGCGCTTTCATAGGGGGTTTTCAGAATTCCTGTTTTATTATGATATATCATCAGCCCACTTTGTGGGTGTAGGTCATTCTTGGTGATCTAAAGGTGAAACTTCTTCACCATCAGAAGTATGAATTGAAGTCGAATGAAGTCTGGCCACCGTGAAAATAACCTTCTTTCAGAGATCACCAGAGGGGCTAAGCATGGTAGCATATACCTGTAATCCCAGTACTCTGGGGGGCTGAGTCAGGAGGATCAGACTTGAAGGCAGCCTAGGCAACCCAGCCAGACTGTGTATCACAATAGAAAAGGGATAGGGATGTAGTTCAGTGTAGTGTACCCCTGGTTTCATTCCCAATGCCCCCCACCCCACCCCACCCCTCTCTCTGTCACACACACACACATACACACACTCACGCACACACATTCACTAGCTGTGTGGTTGCCTGGCTCGTCTGGCCAGCCCCTATTCTACACGCTTTGATGGTGTGAAATAACAGAGCCCTCACATTTCATGGTTGGCAGATCACTGTTGGCACCCAAGGTACAAAGGGAAAGAAAAGATCGTTAGTTAGAGTTTTCTTACCACAAACTTGTATGCCTTTCTTAGAGGAACAGGACATTTCAAATGCACGATAGCCCATCTCTCCCCAGTGAGGAGGGGAAGATGCACTGGAAAATGCATGCTGAGCATGGACTGTGACTGTGTGAGGTCCCTGAACTGCAAATTGTGGAATGCCAGCTCCAAGTAACCAACAGAACAGGGGATCATGAACCCATGGCAGCTGCAGGTGCAGGTGTTCAGGCTCTGGTCCTTTCTCCTTCCAGCCATGCCTTGGATGATCTGCTCTGTTCTTTCCATCTGCATATGATTTCCGTCCAAGTTGGTAGTGTCTGGTTCATCTCTTTATAGCTCCACAATCCACAAGGTGAAAACCTTTGTTTCAACACAGTTCTGAAACAATCTCAGGGAGGGCTTCTGATGAGTCTGCCCTAGGAAATGCAGGCCAAAGCCAAGGCCACTGCCTGTTGTGCTTGGCAGCTCTTTCAAGGTACCGCACGGCTGACCTGAATAGAGAGCAGGTCCCCAAGGACGTGGGTGTGCAGGACAAACAGGTGTTCTCCACAGTGACCTTTGCTTTTGTTGTGGTTATGGCCCCATGTTGGATTCCTCTGTGGGTGGCTAATGGCCAGCACTACAAGAGCAGTGCTCAGGCTTCTCCGTCGTGAGTGAGGCAAAACCACAGCAGAGGGGACCTGCCCTCCTGACACGTGAACAGGCACTGTGGCTTACACATCACATTTGCATTTCCTTTGGTATAATGGTTTACACTTAGTATCAGCCGAACAAGAAATACTGGGCCTTGGCATTCATGTGGCGGCTCACGCTAAGCCAGGTAATGCAGGTGCGTCGGGTGCCAGGCACAATGCCAGGCTCCCGATTAGCCAAGGTAGGGTTGGGATAAATGCAGTTCACCCAGACCCGGACCCTTACATAGACATGGCCATGTCTGGAGTGGGTTTGGGCTTGGGCAGCCCACAAGCACTAAGCCGGCCCGGCTGTGTGCTGAGCGCTTTGCTGCTGTATTTGTGCCATCAGGGAGAGTGTGTGTGTGCACACATGTGCATGTGCTGCTGGTGGTGGGAGATGGGGACCAGGGTCTCTGATGTTGGTGTCCGGAGACAAGGAGAATGACCCAGATGGTCTTGGGAGCAGTGGTCCCAGTGCCAGTTGCACAAGCTAACTGGATATCATGGTTTATTATCGATTATTCTTTAATGAGGGTTTCGTCAGGTACTGGATAATTCTTTCCCTGGGTGTGACTTTGGATAAGAATGGGGTGAAGCAAGGACCAAGCCAGATTACCTCTCTCAGGACTGATAGAGGCTTAGCCAATTGGGTGGTGTTACCAGGGAACATAACCAGGAGGCCCACAGTGCGTAAACTGGTGTGGGACTTGCCGTGGACGCTGGTCATTTCCTATATAAGTGCGTAAGGCTCAGCTGAACCAAAGAGAATGTTGAGTGCCATCTCTGCATTCAACAGGTGATAAACAGGGGCTGGGAAGCTGAAGTCTTTAGCTGGAGTTGGGAGGGGCCCCTCTGGGATTTGAGTTCTTTCTTGTTTTGCTTTTACATTCCTTCATTCATTCGTCCACCCACAGGAGTTTTTCATGCCTTCTGCCTTAACCAGGAAAAATGGTCTGAAAGATGAAAAAGAAGTGAATCTCACTTGAGCTTTGTGTAATGGAGTCAGAAGTGTCATTGTTCCTATATTTGCTCACTTACTAAATAATTCATGAAATGAATAGTTATTGAGCAGGAGCTATGTGCTAGGCACACATACTTATCTAGGTATCTTTTAGCCTCTTGAGCGCTCTGTGGCCTTGGGCAAGTTAGTTCATATCTCTGTAGCATTCTCTACAAAATGAGGGAAATAATTGTGCCTATCTCCTAGATTTATGGTAAGGCTTAGATAAGGCAATATTTGTAAAGTGCCTATACTATTGCCTACTAGGTAATAAGGAATTAGTAAGCATTTAACCATTATTATCATTAATATCCTAAGTACTACAAGAGAGCTGTGTGCACTGGCTTAGAGAAGTATACAAAACAAGTGTCTGTCTCTGCTGCTCATGGGGCCTGAGAATGCTTTGTGGGACTTGTCTTAGTTACTTCCTCATTGCTGGGACACAATACCCAACACCCACAAGTTAAAAGAGGAAAGGTTTATTCTGGCTTACAGTTTGTAGAGGTTTCAGTCCATAGTCACTGGCTCCAAAGCAGGGTGGCATGGCAGAGGGACATCATAGAGGAGAAACAGCACATGGCATGGCAGCAGGAAGTGGAAAGAGATCAAGGGAGGAAGAGGGGGTAGCCACGCCCCTAATGACCCACCTCCTCCAACCACACTTCACCTCCCAACATCACATTAGCTATAAACTCATCGTTGGATGAGTCCACTGATGAATATCATGCCTCCATGGACCAATCTCCTCCCAGTTCCCCGCCTATGAGTGTGTCAGGCTTTGGGGAGACTTCTAGATGTAAACCGTAACAACAGGTGAGCAGAAGTTTGCGTTATAGAGCTGAGGGAACACAGCCAGAGAGATACATTCTAAGAAGAGAGCATTGCTTGTGCAATGAGGAAGGGCTGTGAGGACATGGGAGAGCATGAGAAACGGGCAGCAGAAAGAATGGATGTGAAGAGACCAGGGACAAAGGTCTCTCGGGGCCTGGCTGTGCAGAGGCTCCTGTGCAGAGACCTGAGAGCCTTTGATAAGGAGCTCAGGGGTGGACACATCCCCAGTGCAGCTCAGGGTTCTTTCTGCCACCCTCCCCGGGATCGCTCAGCAGTCGCAGGTGACCATTACACACCAGGAGGCATGTGTGCATCACTGCCATAAAAACACGGCTGCAGGAAGTGAGTCATGGACCTTGTCACCTGCAGGAAAGGGGCTGGTGACGGGAGGAGGAGACACTTGGGCAGTCTTTCTGGAAGG